CAGGATTTGTAGAAATTATAAAAGTATTAAATAGAAGATACTTATATATATAAAATAATAGAAAAACTATTTAAAGTTATTATATAAGATAATTTATAAGAAATAATAATAAATAAAATTAATTTAAAGAAGAATTAATAACTATTATTATTAAAAAACTTAAAAAACTTGTTAAAAAACTTTAATTTTCTCTTGTTAAAAAAAGAAAAGAAAAAAATAATTATAACTATAGCCTATAGTAAGAAATAATATTTTTCTATTCTTATTTTTATAAAATCTTAAAAATATCCTTTTTTTTATTAATATTACTTTTTTTTCTATTATACTATTGAGACGGAGCAGTGCAGCCTGCCGCACACCACAAGAAACAAAGTAAAAAGAAACAAGGAATAAGTGGTCAAATGGTCAAGAATAGTTCCTGCAAGAAGCTGCTGCAATTCCGCCTGCAGGAATGGAAATGGGATGTCGGAATGGTTGATCAACGGGAATAGGGCCGTATCACAACCAAAGGAGGCTTCCAAATAGGGGGAAGCCAAAGATCATATGAGTGTCAAATAGGGGACACTTACACACACAAAACAAGAGAAGAATTGTCCGGAGTCACCACACAAGATGATCCATGAGATATGATAATAACGAAGTCAATTGAAAGAAGAACTAATGACTGTTATCGCTGAAGAACTTGAGAAACTTGTTGAAGAACTTGTTCTTGCTCCTTGAGGGAGGAAGGGATAGAAAAGAAATAACCATGGTCCTGGCCCATGGCAAGGAATAATGTTTTTCCACCCCATCTTGCGGAATCTTGAGAACGTCCCCCTTTTCACCAATGTCCCCTTTTTCACCGTCACACTATCTTAAAAAAAGACGCGTTTTAATAAATAATATTATTAAAATAATATTAAAATTATATTTTTTATTAGTAAGATTTAAGATAAATTTTATTAGTATCTAAAGACGAAAAGTATATAAGATTTTAGTTAGCTCGAGAAGCTATGTTTAGAGTCTTTATTTCTTAATTTAACTTTAGCTTAGTTTTATAATATCTTTTATTTATTTTTATTAGTCTTACTTAGCTTTTTTACTTATTTTTTTTAATTAAATAAATTATTTTTTATTGTATAACTTTAAATTTTAAATATTTTTTAAATTATTTTTTATTAATTTTTATTTATATATATTATTAAAGTTTTAATTAAAAAATTAATTAATTTCAAAGCTTATATTTTTTAAAAAAAATTAATTAATTTTAAAGCTTATATTTTTAATAAAAAAATTAAAGTTTAATTTAAATAATATAAAATTTTAATTTTTTAAAATATTTTCAATTAAATAATATATTTAATATACTTTTTAATAAATATATTTTATCTACTCTTTATATCTAACTACGTCTTTGAGACCTTCTCGTCCCTCGACGACGTGCTTTATCTATATTAGAATTAATAATATATTATAGACTTAGTGCGAGTAAAATGGTAGGCGGGTTCAACCGCGCACTCTGACGACGCTGGTTTTAGGCCGACATAATCTAAAATTCACTCAGTTGTCGAAGAGTAGGAGTGAAATCGAATGATTCTACTTAATTGGCTGTACAATATATAGCAGTGGATGAAAATGGCTGTAAAGATAGCCTTTAATTTTTCACGAAATGTCTCCGCACACGCCCAAAAATCTAGACACCGCACTCAGGCTATTTGGTCGAGAACCGTACCGATTAGGTATAGCGCGGTTTGCTGCCTTAGGCACGAAAAAATGACCTGAGCTTGCTGAGGTAATATGTACATGAGTGCGTGATCATATGACCTTCGCACGTGACTATGCTAGGGAGGGTTGGCTCCGTGACAGGCTGCCGCTAGAAGATATGTTATCCACGGAAGACAGGACCATACTTAGCGAAGTCGTGGATATTCTCGAGCCCTTCAAGAAGCTAATAAAATGGTCCGAAGGCAGGGATCTGGATTTTGCAGAGGTCCTTTCTTCAACCTACTACCTGATTGATCAGCTTAAGGTGCAACGTACGCACTTTGGCGATAATCTCGTCTTTGCACCCTTTGCAGGACTTACGACTCCTTCAGTCCAGCCACCCGTACAGATTTCAGCGCCACCACTAGCTCCGCCGCCGATGACTTTACGCAGCAGACCTCAAAGAAACGCAGGAATCCCGCGGTGGTTAGAGGGCTGCGAGGTAAACCTACCGCGGCAGCGCCTCAATACGATACAACTACCAATTACTCTCGCGCGATGATTCTTCACCCTGGGCTCCGGACCCGGTGGATTGATCGGAATCTCCCAACGGAACGGGCCGCCCGTATTATCTCGCAGTTCCGTCAGTTCTTCGAGACGTACTACGCCCAGCCGCCTGCCGCCAGACCCACCAAGCCGAGCCAGCCTCCAGCATCAACCAGACACACTTTCTTAACACCTCACGGCTTCTACGACGACCCTACCGAGTCGGACACTATCGGCGAGATCAGCGTATACGTGACAGAGCGGATTTTTGCGGTACCAGATATTTTAGCTTGGTGGGACTTGAATAAGGCTCGATTTCCTAGTCTGGCTCGAATGGCGAGCTCCAATCTCCCGAAACAGCCATGTTATCGATTGCGGAACCAGCATCGTCTGTTCAGCAACCAGCGACCTCGCTGTGACAACTATTTTGTAATTACATACCAACTCTGAATCCCAATCCAAATCAGATAACGACAACTCAACGGTCCCTTGAACTATCCGCGTCTCGTACGCTTTATACATACACACTCATCTTAGTGTCTGACTGCTACTTCTCACACTACCGAGTGAATGCTTGTGCCCACCCCCGGCTGTTTTCGGCGTTGGGGTTCGACTCCTGTTCGCTGAGTTGGTTGATTGTGAAATAAATCTAGTAGACAAGCGTCTAGTTAAATCGCGGAGGGCCGGGATGCAAGCGCAAATGACGCAGACATCGAGCTCAATCAGGGACCAGTATGTGATCTCAAGTATGTCCCCTATTCAGAACTTGTCAGCAACTTTGAGGGAAAGACTTTTAATGAGAAGCAGGGCTCGTACATGTAGGATTTGGCGTGGTTTGGAAGGCCGCGATAGTCCGCAGTCGGATGACAGAAACAATGGTAATACTCTATCTGTTAGTTCCAGGGGTATTCTCAATTGTGCTCTCTTTCAACTCACAAAAAGCCCAGCGCAAACATAAACGCAGCACCCAGCTTCTCCTTCCAATGAAAGCTCACCCTAACCAGTTGAGTTATTGGCATGCTTAATACTATCACATCCAGTACGATGTTCATAGCAGCATTAATCCACGTCTGTAAGTTGATATCGTGGCATTTTCCATGATGTTCGCCATCCCACTTAGTCCACGTATAGCTGACGGGTTGACATTGGAAGATAGTAGCAATGCTAAGGGAAAGCCCAGTCCCTAGGCTAATAAAAATGAGAATGTATGCGATACGGCGGAATTTCTCACCAGGAAACACGCGCACGTAGAAGAAAAGAAAGTTCGTTTTAGCGAAGAAGACACAAATCGCGTATAAAGCTTCCGCGACGTAGAATATCTGGTATCGTTAGACATTTCAAGGCACTAGCGCAGTGAGAAGCAAACTTACTTCAAGGAAGTTGGTGATTTGTTGAGGAGTGAGCATCCAGATATCTTGCCCTAGGCCATTTTTGACAGCTGTACAAGAGTTAGAGTCGTTTTTATAAATGCCCATGGAAGGAATAAATTACCAGCAATCGTGACAATGGAAATTGGTATTACAAGCATCTGAGGCATCATCAGCTCAAGACTAACTTGGATGAAAGACTCATCAGAGATACAAACCAATGTGATAATCACAGTAATATCATCCATCATCATCTTTCCGCCTTGGCGAGTGAGTCGAGCATAGAGCCGAAGCACTACGGCGATGAACGCAAGGGTGCTTCCTACAGTTGCAACGACTGTAACAATGTAGCCTTTATTTCGCACCGGAAGATTGCAGCTTTCGGAATACAGTCGCTTCGTTGCTTGGTTCCGATGAGTGTGGAGTGGAAAGTATTGGAGTTCAAGGAGCATACTCAATCTTTCTGTAGCAGTGCAGTTGGCTGCGACGCAATCGCTGATTTGTTGACTGACGCTCACATCGGCACACATGCAAGCTTGATCCAAGGGACAGGCCGAGTGTTGGAGGGCAGCAGTAAAGCACAGTTGCTGAGTAATGTTAGACATCATCGTGCCCTTCTGGACTACAAGCAACTCACCGCACAAGTAGGCAAAGTTGAATAGTCAGTCATATTGGCTGCATCGGTCATTCGATTCAGAGCTAGGACAGTCGGGAAACTCATTATCGTGGATAAGGGAGAGTGCATGGTAAAATTGGAGTGCGGCTTGTCTGCCCGGCGTTTGTCTTTTAGTAAGGAACGCCTAAAACCCTGGCATCATACCGTATAAATTACTAGACACAATCTCCCACACTCGGTGTGCACGGACTAATACGTCCAGGATTTGTAGAAAGACTTTTTGGCCAGAGCCTTCGTATGGCCCCACTATCTAACCTTGGGTAGACACCCCTGACCACGCTATCATGTACGATCCTGGCAAAGGTGTAAAGCCAAGTTTTATGCAAACGCCGCCACAATATACTCTAGAAACATACGAAGGGGGGAGCATGAAATAAGGGCCTACCTGCCAGGTATCGTACCCATACTATCCTATACCCGAAAAAGAAAGGTCTCGAAATCGGTACTTCAATTCATTATATTATGTCAGCCTTCTTAGTTTGAACCTGGCTTGAAACAAGGATTTAGCGCTCTAAGGATACTACAAACATAGCCCCTTTTTTCAAGGAAGACGAGAGTAATTGGAATCAACTACAGGCTAATGACCAATGCTCGGCAGAAGCAAATGCCTTTATCGAACGATCGAGCTGATCTCCGCCAATAGCGCCTCTCCTCCACCCAACTCCACATGCAAACTTTGCTTTAGGGCTCTCTAGCGGTTACTGACGACCTACCGCTACACCTTATTGCTAATGCACACGCGCACGGCTTGCTTAGGAGCTTGTGAAATCATGCCTCGCTGGTACTGCTGCAGCTTTGGGTTGGTATCTTACTCATCGTCCTGTCTGACGAGCGGGATGCCTTGATGTGGCTGAAGGTTTCAAGTCTCACGGTGTCATGTTCAGCCCCGCACAGAGTGAACCCCGGCAAGCTTCAAATTGGCGCTGTCCCGGGCTGGTACGGTGTAATGAAGTCATGGAAGGCCCCCTTAGGCTTGACTCTTGCTAAACCAGAATTCGTCTCTTGCCACCAAGCGCCAACCTAAAATCATCATTGCAATTACTTGTGTACTCAAACAGAGCTAGCCCGAACAGTCTCAAAACGCACGAATTCTGGCGGAAAATCGATCTCCCCATCGACGACAGCCTGCTGGCCAAGAATCTTTTGCAGCTCGGTGTAGTACTGGCCAACTTCTCCCCTTGCCTGCTCATAATTTAAGAACCGATCAAGAGGTTCTTGAAAATTCCCCGTGTCCTCCATAATCAGGTTGTCGGTCTCACACAACAGAATCAAGATGGCCATTATCTGTCAGCGTTGGAGCTCATAGTGGAGGACATCACGAAGGGCGAGACAACAATCCGGGGGAGCAGGATGCCGTCCATCAAAACAGTCGAAATTCAAGGTTCGACTTAAGACCTCGAATCGCGATTGTTTTACCATGTGGAGACCCAACTTCTTTTGTTCGTTCATAGCTTTGGGGCTCAGTTTCTCCCAATCGTCGAGGTTCATTGATCGAGGACAAGGAACCACGCTGGACTCAGGGATGTCGTGAAGGAATTCGGCCAGACCCTTCAACTCTGACGAGGCGAACTCAATTCGCCTCGTGATCCTAGAAACCTTGACGAGCGATAACCGACGCTTGTCGGCTTCCAGCCTAAAGGGGTTCGCTCTTCTAAGGCCCAGGGATGCCATCCAACACCTAGCTTCGCTGATCAAGCCTGCATTGGATCCTGTGCTTAGATCAGGAACCCATGATGGCAAGTCCGCGATTTTTGTTTCCGGCCCTTTTAGCGACAAAATAGACAGATCTTGGACGAGTTGACGATGAAGGTTGCTGCCTGGACGTAAACGTCTCTTACGCTTAACTCATACGCCACTCGAAATAACACCGCCGCATTTGACTCGTCATGCTCCTGACCCTCTGCCTCTTTAGAAATTCCCCAGAAGGAATAGACTTTATCTCTAGGATTTGTGGCGTCTAGAAAACGATGGAGCAGCAGAAGCTTGGTTAATGGAAACCCGGAGATGCGCAGCAAAGAGTCGACTGTCTGGGTACCCAGGGATGCCCTTATTTCTAGCAATATAGACCCGAAATTTCTACGCAAGCCACCCGATATTTGGGGTCTGTAAAGTCTCAAGTCGCTCTGAAGCTGGGCCACGAGAGACCGTTGGTGGAAGCTGTCTCGGTAATTGCATATAAGCGGCTCCGCTATCCGAATGACCTGGTTGATCCATCCGGCGTGACTCAGTAACACCGACGACCCAATGATCATGCTCATGTTGAACTGTATCATCCCGCAGAGGGCAACAGCATTCTTCGCGAAGGCGATCTCTTGGACCACCCACGCCCGCTGGAACCAAGCACGGCTGAGAAACATGTAGATGCCGATCCATGAGTCGCGATTCATAAGAGCAAGTCCCAATTCCTTGTAGGTCGCCTTCTTGAGGATGTCCAACGATTTCATCCTTTCCAACATGGCCTTGCCTAATTTGACGTTGAAAAGTTGGTCGAGGTTCAGAATTGCTTGCTTGGAAAAACGGTCTCCGCCGCCAAGCCATACAAAGACGGTAGTCGACTGCCTGTAAATGCGGCTCATCATCTGCACCTGGCTATTGCGCTCCTGCACATCGCTTTGGTTGATGCAGAGGGCGTCGATCCAGAGTAGATTGCGGTATATGTCGCGGGAGGCTGTCCGTGATGGCGGCTGGCTTGAAAAGAAATGGAAGGAAAGTAGCGCCGTGTATAAATTGGTCGCGAGTGACACTGGCTTCTCATTCACGAGGATATCGAAAGCACGCGTCGACCAGGCCTCAGGTGGAGAGATTTCGTCTGCGCTGCTGTACAGTGTACAAGGGTCTCCCCATGTGTATGATAGCGCGTCGTATACCGGATCTTCTCGCAGGTCTTTTACGACCAGGGAGCATCTTATTGGGGGTTGAAACAGGTTGAAAGACTTGTCCTGGCTCGCCATATCGACCGGAAGTACTGTAAGGAGCCTAATCGAAGTTGACGTGGGCAGAGGCTGATACGCGAAGTCTTTGGGAACCTTGCTTTCGCAGTCGCATGGGGGACGTATGATTGGCAGCAGCGGCAATGGCGGAACTCCTCGATGCCCACCTCCTTTCTGCTGAGGATTAAGCCGGGAAAGGACAACTGCAAGTGCTTTATCTCGGTCCTCTTCGTAATGTACACCAGTTCTCCTTGAGGTCATTTTCTTTGGAAAGGGCCACCCAAATTCGTCGATTTGAATAGCTAGAGCGATTCTAGTCTCAAAATAGCGATATTTGAAATGATTAAAGAGGTTAAAGCAATAGCTTTAAATGGTGCCTGATGACCAAAATTGTTGTTCTGGGGAAGAGTTGGATATGAATCAGACCCACCCGCGATGGTTTATGGAAAGAAGCGGGGAACTAGGTGTAATTTGGACTCAGTACCTCAGTACAGTCGACCGGGCTAGAGTCCAGCAAGGAATATGTAACGAGCCAATATCCACGACCCGTTTAGGAAAATATAAGGACCGGCAACCTGCGGTAGAGTGAGTGACATTCATATGACCCCGCTTGGGGTTGGCGTGCGGAGCGCGTAACTCCCAGCTCCACGGTCCTAGCGTATGTCCCCCATGCCGTCTGAATGGCTCGTGGCGCGATTCGATGACCAGCGCCGTCAGCGCCGCGGCCTCCTCGCCAATTCCAGGATTCGGCGCAAGACAGTCTTTCGCAAATGCGAGAAACTTCAAAAGCTCGGCGCAAGGGTCTATGCGGTAATCGAGATTTGCGGGGGGGATATACGACCATGCTCCCAAGAGGACAAAGGACCGGCCGCCCAAGCAGGGATTGGCATGTTCCCGAGAGGCCTGGTATTCCTCTGGTAGCTATCTTCTAGAAGGCGTACCAAGTCTATCCGTTGCCCGAGCCGCATGGCGTAGGAGGGCAACTTGATAGATTTCCCTTTATTAGTGTACACATCTCTACGTAGGTCGCCGGTGCCGGCCTGAGGGAATGTGTAAAAAGATTACCAAGTCCGAGTCGTGTTCCTCAATGAAGCTCGGGGGACTAGGCCTCGACGAGAGCTTCTTCACCTGCCAAGCAGTACGTGCCCCTCTTATTAGGGGACGAGTCAAAGGACGCGGACCGTTTCCTCCCCGGTACGTTTGTGACGTAGGCACGGTCAAAGTCTACCGCCATGAGACTCGAAGTCGTGGGATTCCAGAGGATATTGTACGGTCGGCCGTCTCCGTGCTCTACACCTTTTGCCTAATCTCATCCAGGAGCTCGTTGGCCTCGGCTTCGACGTCGATGTCAAGATCGTCGTAGCCTGCCAGATTGAGTCCGCCGAATGACATGAGAAGGATCCTGGCAATACGTACGCCGCTTGTCAACCGATAGTTTCTGACCAGATCCACGATACCGAGACATACCGGGATACGTCGGCCCTGGAGGTCAACCAAGGACATCGTAGATGTGCATTTCCTTCTCCAACCTCTACTTATCGATGGATTGGACGCCCTTCGCCATGAGCGTGTAGCCGTAGTCGCGCAGCGTGAACTTGAACAGCGCGCCGACCGCGCCGTACATACCAAACTTGTCGAGGGCCTCCCAATCGTCCACAAGGCTTACTGAGAGCTGCTCTTGCGCCTTGTTGAGAAATTCCTGGTTAGAGAGTGGATGAGGCGCATAATGAGCTTGACTGGAGGGTGCGTCCGGCTGCCGGCCTAGATGGAGCAGAACGTTGGGACAATGGGGATCAAGAAGGCCCGAAGTCCGGAGGCCATTGAGGCATGCTTGTGTACAGAAATAGTACAGAGGCGGTCGGCTCGGAGTATTACCCGTAATTGGTCTGTCGACCACTACTGCATCGTGAGCGACATGCAATCCACGAGCTGTCGAGCCTGGTTGCCGTTGCTGGCCGCCTGTCGTGCTGCTAGCCATGCCTCCCCCCCATGCCCCTATCTCCAGATAGGAGTTGAGAGGGTGGAGCGGAGCGCAGCAGTGGACCATCCGTCTGATGAGCATCGTCATCCTTTCTACGCTTCCGGCTAGAGGACATAGTGGTAGGCGTATCGAGGTTGAAGTATAGAAGGATAAGTCCTTCCCCCATGCTAATATAGCTGTACCTCAGACCGTATTCTACTATGTAGTAGAAATTCTAGACCAAAGATGCATCGATATTGGCGCGGACATCTATACGGTCGCAATCGGCGAGAAGACTCCCGCGTGACTTGACTCCGGTCAAACTTCCAAAGGACCGATGCGTGGCGACCTAACTCCTTTCGTCTGGGCGGAAAGGATGTGCGAGTCACCCCCATATTCGTTGTCGGTGGACGTAGATGAACCATACCGAAAGGTCTCTATCATTCTGTTCGGCATTGGCCGTTCGTTGGGCATCCCTGGCGCGCAAACGTCGAGTCTTGCGTGGGATAATATTGAATGTCCGTTAAAAGGATGTAGCGGCCAAACCACATAAGATTTCGGGAAGTACCCCAGAGGCAAGCGAATTAGGGGTCTCCGATGCAGTGGCACATGGACGCTTTAGCCCCTGTACACTTCAATCGAGCCAGGAAACGGGACGGGGAGCTTATTTCCTGCTGACGCCCCTGCCTACGGGATATTCGAAGATTCGAAAACGTGGAGGTGGAGATGAAGGGGAAAAAAAAAAAAACCAATTAATGCTGTTAAAAGACCTCGACCTGAACATGCTATTAATTCGACTAACACTGGGGTTTGGCCACGGGTGCGACCACGTGTTTGGACAATGTATATGCATCATTGATCATGTTCATCGGGCCTGGGGCATACAGCGTTACAAAACAACAGTGCTTGCATTAGGCATAAGTTGCCCCCATCAAGTTCCCTTCGTGCGTGAAGCCCTGAGCACCTGCTACCCTGACCTGAGCAAGAGTAGGCAGGTGTGGGCAGAGAGGGCTTCATTTGTGGTCACCTCGGCCAGACTTAAGAAATAAAGAAAACGCCCCCATTTCACCGAAAAACTCTGACCAACATTTAACAACCTTTTGGAACGTTCGACTAGAACAAATCCCTCAAATCGTGTTCGAGGCCTGTCCAAGTGTCCAACAGAGTCCCTTTCTCATTAGTACACGTATCTAAACTGGGGAATCTCCCTGTCTGTCTTGTCCATCAGGTTCAATGTTTCGGGTGGTATGTCTAGTGCCTCGCAGGAGCGATCACGTTTCTTGTTCTCCCTAACTAGGTAAATGCGTTGCAAGATGCAGAGCACAACAGCAGCGCTAAAGCATACCATGATGGCAAGGAAACCTGAGGGATAACTAGGGGCTTCCCGGTCAAAGAAGAGATGAGGACCGATGATGTTGGCAGCGCAATAAGCGAGAAAAACCTAACAAAAGTTTAGTGGTGCCGTGTAGACTGTGACTAGGTAACGGTTGGAAGATAAGAAAAATAACATACCATTGCGCTGACTGTGGTCTTTTTAGTGAAGCCACCAAAATTACTCGATGTCATGGCCATGGTCATGGGGAAGTTTGCAGTGAACGAGACGGTTAACGCATTCCCTATCGCGCGACCCCACTTGTGCGAAGAGTCAACCTCGCGGATAACAGCCGCACCCACAATACTGACGATAAGGTTGAACATCATAAAGTACAGGCGGCTGTTTGGTAGATGGGAGCTGCCGATGGTGGTAATGAGGACGAAGAGCAGTTGAAAAGCGTAGGCTATCATATTGACGAGCAGCGTCTTCAACGTCGAGAACCCGAGGCCATTGATGATTATGGTGCTGAACTAGAGACGAGATGATTTAGAAGATTAACTCTCTCTCTATTCCCACGCGATAGGTTCTTACCGTGATCAGTCCATTGTTGGGGAGGTTGCTAGCAAAGTAGATAAGAACCACGAACCATGCGTTTGGATCGCAAATAGCCTCTATAGCCTGCTCCTTCTTCCACTTGTTGTTCTTAATGCCCGTCATATTCTTCTCGACTCGTGCGATGGCTTTATCCCGCTCCTGTGTTGTCAAGAAGCGGGCGTTGTGCGGAGTGTCTGGCATGAGGAAGAAGGTTACGACTGAAAAGGCGGTGGTGATGCCTCCGAAGACGAGAAAAATGGCCTGGAGGCGGAATTAGTATGAATACGTGCGTTTTTATTTTCTTCTTCTTCTCCTTTTTTTTTTTTTCCCCCTTTTGACGAAGGATTGACGCCTACCTTCCAGGGGGGAATGCTGGTAATATGACCGAGACCATAGCTGACAAGGCCCCCAAAGAGCCCACCGCATGTGTTGCCGAGAAACCACGCCCCTTGACGCAAAGGCTGTTCAGACCGCTTATACCACATGGATATCATTATGGAGAGTCCGGGGGCCATGGAGGCTTCGGCCATTCCCAGGAAGAAACGATTGGCTAACAGCCCGCCCCCATTAAAACAGACAGCGGTAAGCATGAGGATACCACCCCAGATAACCCTTAGATGATGTTGTTTAGCGCGCGCGGACATGTCGAAATCGCGATGGATGAGAAGCCACGCGGCAAACCGGTTGGCAGGAAGAACTTACAGGCTGATAGTCAGTATTTTTGCAATTGGAAAACGAACAAGCAGCACCCCAGCGACCGGATATGTAGCAACCAGGTAGCCGAAGTAATAGATAGCACTGGACCATGAATAGTCATTTCCAGAAAGGCGGAGATCACTTTTAATTCCTAGAATGGCCGCGTAGCTGAGGCAGGACTTGTCAAGGAATTGGAACATGTATGCGGTCGCCATGACGGGGAGGAGCCTGCGTGCCGACATGAGCAAAATATTCAAGCGTGAGTGAGCATGCAAGGGTTCGCTTTATTGCACCTACCATCGATCAATCTTGTGGAGGATCCTGCGGTCTTCCTCTGGCGTCAGGTCTCGATAGAGCACGGCGCCCTCATCAAGCGACTTGACATCACATGGCTGATCGTCTCCCAGATGAGTCTTGACGCCGTCAGCCATCTTGAATGCGTCGTTCTGCGCTATTGGTGCGAAGACTGATGATGCGCACTGAGTGATTAGACAAAGAAACTGAGGAATTTTGGGATCTTTTGAATGTCATAGAAGCGAGTGTTCGACTTCTACGGCCTCTAGTTAGGTTGGAGACGCATGAAGAGCTTTATAGATGGTTGGAGCGTATCCTCATCGTCTGTCGGATGAGATGTCCCCCAGCTGGGCCGAGAGGCAACGTACTCTATGTTGAGGCGCCACTGAATTCGGCCCAGTACGTTAACAACATGATTATCCAGCATTTGGTCGAAATACGTCTGGAAAAGGAAAAGAAAAGGAAAAAGAAAAAAAAAAAAAAGATAACGGCCGACGAGAATCCAGGGATAAGCTAACCGGAATTAGACGGTTAGCCGACGCAGAGGAGCCGATGAAGAGGCCGTTTGGTCGCAACACATTTAATTGGTAGTCTGATTGGAGGGGTGTCGCCCATGCCCTCCATGCCGGGGCTGCGTGCCGGCGCGGGGAGCTGAGCTATCTCAGATCTACCCCAGTCATATCAAAATTTTGCGGGGGCTCTAGCGGCCTAGTCTGTTTCTTAGGCCCAATTTGACAGGATGCAGCACGCACGGCACTAATAAAAGGTTACATTCTGCACACAAGATAGCCAAGATGGGGTGAGAATAGGGGTAACTGGGTAACTGATAAGCTGCATGCGGCGTACGGGCCTGGCCTAATGTCATGAAATATATCGGGTAGTGTTATCTTTCAATTTGTCCTAGCCATCGTAGGCTATCTCTATAGTAGAATTGACATTCCTGTTCTACATTGATATAATATGGGTTACGAAATGTTGAGAGCCGGAGAATCGGACAAGACCGAAAGGAAGGTAGATTTTGGGTTTGTGCTGCTCGGCCTCGGTACATGCCTCTTTCTTTCCTCCCCCGGGAGAGGGCGTGAAACCGTAGAAACCGCTGAGATCCGGTCAAACTCGTGAATGTACACATACTCCTGATCGACCAGAGAATGATGAAAGTAGAAAACCCGCCAGGAGGTACAGGGGACATCCAGCAAAACGGAACTAATGATTTGGACCCGTCAGACGTCCTAGAAACTGGCAAAAACCACGCCGCAAATGACGGTCTTCCCGACATCGGAGTGGTCCGCACCGCTCGCCCAGTTGATCTATTCTTTGATATACCAAAACCTACAGGACAACTATGGTAATGGATCGGGCATCTCAAAGTCCCTCCGGACATCTTCTGCAAGAGCATCATCGGTGAGTAACCGTATAGCCAGAATCGCCATACCCCTAGCACAATTCATAGCGGCCTCATGAGCTTCGTTCGTTCCGGCACAGGCAGCAAAGTTTCGACTATGGAGAGAAACATTTGGCGACGTAGGAATCGCGAATGCGCCGTGAAAACTCGGCACCATATGCGACACATTACCCATGTCACTCGACGCTTCCAGCGGAACCTGAACTTCTTGTTCAATTCGTAATCCTAGTTTAGCCATATCTTGAACATAAGCCTTGCAGAGGGATGAGTTTACGCGAAGATCTTGATAGGTTGGCGCTCTAGATGGCTCTCCATTAGCTGGCAAACCCGAACAAAGTTTTTATTCGGACTGGCAACTTACACGTCGTAGCTGATCTCGCAGCCAGCTGCCGCAGCACCGGCTTCGAGGCACGCCTTGACGCGGGCAACAAGAGCCTCACAACTCGAGATGGTTGGGCTGCGTACGTTCCATTTCATGCTGGTGTAGTCCGGAATGACGTTAGGCACCGTGCCGCCAACTTCGAAGACTCCGTGAATGCGCTCGTCGGGTTGAATCTGCTGGCGCAACACGGACACGTTGACATAAGCGGCAACGGCGGCATCTAACGCGTTGATTCCCTTCCATGGTTCCGCGGCAGCATGAGAAGTGCTGCCCCTGAATTCCACGCGCATTTTGTAGCTCGAGATCAGCCTCGTACCGGCAAGTCCGTCATACCGCTGGCCATCATTTCTCCTCGCTCCCGAAGCCGTCGGATGGGACATGATGGCCGCGCACACATCTCGGGGAGGGTTAAAAGCACCGGCCTCGATAAGCTTTATCTTGCCGCCACCTCCCTCCTCCGCGGGAGTCCCAAGGATGCGAAGCCGCCCAGGGATCTTCAGCTCGCTCAATACCTGAGCAGCGCCGACGAAGGCAGCTACTGAGGATGTAGCGATCAAGTTGTGGCCGCACCCGTGGCCAATGTCGGGGAGCGCATCATATTCAGCGCAGAAGACGACTTGGCGACCTCCGCTGCCGACCGTAGCCTCGAATGCCGTGTCCAGACCCCAGGCGTGGCGTTGAACGGCAACACCGCGGCCCTCAAGGAAGCTGGTCAGGACTTTATGGGCAAAGACCTCTTCGTAAGCGGTTTCGGGGTTCGAGTGCAGGTCGATGTTGACTTGGCGCAGGGCTGGATCAAGCGAGCCGAGAGTCGAGTTGATTATTTCCCTGGCCACTTCAATCGACGTGGGCTTGGGCTTTTCAGTGCTCCATATTGTTGTGTCCGAAGCCACTGCGTCGGTGGCACCTTCAGTTGCCTTGGGGAAATTTCCCCTTGAAGCTGGTTCGGTGATGACTGACATGACTCTAGCTGCCGTTGGACAGAGAAAAGGAAAACATCAACCAGCTGGATGCAATCATCCTAGTCACGGAGTTTTGGGGTTCCTTTTCCTTTCATGTTTTATTAAATATCAAGTCAAGACGCTACATGCTACAAGTATTATCGGGAATTCGGCAGGTGCCTCTCCCTGTCGCCGCTACATTAATACTAGCCCCTTGATCCTTGATCCTGTCCTTGGTCTAGTGTACTAGAGTCTAAATACACTAGACCCTGTATATGCGGAGACCGAATTTCGGTATCATTGGTCACTTAGGAATCTGCGCATGACGAATACGAAACACCCCACTTAAATAGCCGATGGCCGACGACCAAGATAAATCCAAGAGCTTCACGACTTCTACTCAGCGACCTCAACCTCGTCAGGTACCCCATCATCCTCCCATCCCGCGGCTACCTGCTATCGGCTACTAGTTTGCGGAGCTCGGTCTTAGGTCTCCACTGTGATCCTGCCTGCGCCACGATAATGTCGCCTTCTCATCGGCAGCTGTCTCGCAAGTCATCAGCGGCTAGCTCTCCGCCATCTTCTCGGCTTGGTCGATCGGGCCCGCGATCGCGCAATGGTTGCTGGACTTGCCGAGGAAAGAAGGTCAAATGTGACGAGGTGCGGCCAACGTGTGGCCGGTGCATCCGGCTGAGGCTAGATTGCGACTTTTCTCCTCGAATCAGATATCCAACCGGCAGTTCTTCTTCTGCGTCGATAGCTGCCGATTACTGTGCCGTGCTCGATCTCTCCACAAGACAGTTACCCAAAGAGGGGGCCAGGCGTGTGGATACGGCATTGCCCGACGGTTCTGAATGCAACACATTAGCTCATGAGCAGGCAAACGTGGGGTCAGCCGCCATAACTTGTCCACCTGACTCGCCAAAGTTCGACACCGCTGGCGGAGTGGCGTTGGGCAACCAAGAACTCGAGGCCATCCGCCATTTCCGCGATTCATTTGCACCGTTATACGTCACCAAGAACCCAGATTACTCGGTCTTCTCCGTCTTGTTGCAGATTGCAAAAGACGACGCGATACTGATGCATCTGGTGATAGCGATCGGATGCCGTGAGATCGACTTCCGACGACAGTCATGGCGAAAGAGAGATTGTCGGCACCGAGAAGATGACCAAGGGTGCGGCTCAGCGCAGCGGTCTCTCGGCCTGAGGCATTATTCCGTCGCCCTACGAGCCATGTCTGCTCTTGTGGCAAACGGCCAAGCGTCCACCACCAACATCGATCTCGATACTCTGACCAGTATCCTTCTTCTCATGATCATGTACGAGCAGATTCACGGGGATCCTAGATGTCGGGGTCTCTCCACACATCTGTTGGGGGCATCGCTCATCCTCGAGCGCTACTATAGCAACGTGTTGGGGGACGTAACGTTTCTCCCTCAAGCTGGGGACAGCCAGCATCAGCGATGTGCTCTAGCGCGGAGAGCAAGGCCCGGAACCAGGACGCATTTATCACTGTATTCTGCCCGACTCCTTGTACGCATTAGTGGCATGGACGTTATCGCTTCATTCTATGGCTTAGGTGGTCAAGTCACGGGCACCCTTCTCAAGATGATGGCCGAAGACAATGCCAGGCGGAGGAAAGCTAGCCCTGGGTTGATGGACAGCCTTTCGTGGCTCCACCGTTATTCAAACCCGCTCTATCGCGCTGTCTGGGGAGATGTATATCCCCAAACAGAGATGGTTGACGACCTGGAGAATCGAACTGTATACGACCTTCTGGGGGCATGTACCCAGCTACGATTTAGGATCTCGCAACTGACTGACGTCTTGTCCCGCGATGATCATGGAGCTAAAGCTGCGCTCATTGCTGGCGTTGAAGCCGCGATCCAGGACATTGGCCATCGTTTCGCTGACCTTCTCGAAGTAGCTGCCGGCCTCTCTTTGGAAACAGACAACTCCCATCGACTGGTGGCTAACATGCGATGGATAGTTCCGCGGTATTACACAGAGCTCATCCTATTCCTCCGTATAACTTCCGGGCGTGCGGTTGAGTTGAGGCCGAGGCGAGAGGATGCGCTTCGGATTATCGTGGCTTTAGCAGTGCAAGGATTCCGGCATGAAGGGGACATGGCAATGTTACGGATTGCGCATCCTCTGTTTATAGTGGCACTAGAGACTGACGATGAATTGCATCGGCAGTGGGTGCTGGAGAGATTTGAAGGACTGGGCCAATTCGGAGAGCATTTCTGGAGGATGAGGGAGTTTCTAGAGAGAAACATTGGGATGCCGCAGGCATCGACGACCAAGCAAGAACTAAGGATGAAGTTCTTAGATGAAGCCTCTTCACTGTGCTTTTGCCTCTTGTAATGAGGTAGGCAAGATAATGGAAGTTAACGCCCACCCACTCACGGAGATTGCCAACGCTGTTGACCCGAAATCTACCCTCAGGGCCAATATATGATCGCACAAATTTCAGAGGTCTACAGTTCATGCGACTGCTCTTGTTCACCCTGCATGTTCTTGCGTTCATAATTTGTCTAAGATTTACCTTGTTTCTCCAAATTTCACCACCTTACATTGACCTTTCCCCGCCAAGGTATCGATTATGATTCAACAGCTCCTACAGCTCGCAGTTGAATCTATTCGCTTCAGGCACCACGCTACGGATTTGGATTTCCCATGAACTACTTGATAAGGAGGACGCAGGCCTGCCGACATGGTGGAGAGTGTTCGACTTATTTTAACAGATATTGATTAGACTAAAGCCTGGGCGATGACGCGCCCAGTTTCTTCCGCTTTAATTCATTACTCTTATACCCCATCTCTCGCAGTCTACTATTCGCTTAATCGATTCTAACAGCCTGAAATCTGGCAATCCCAGAGGCGCCTTTGCCCTTCACCACCAAGAGCCCGTGGTAATCGCACCAAACCAGCCCGGCCTGGAGGCCAACAGAACCGTCGCCTCATCTGCAGGAAAGCACTGCTTGATCACGTCGCACGCCGTGATTAGACCCTTTGTTCCTTCTCTAGGCTTCACTGGCCCATTAAGGTTGGCACCGTTCAGCAAGAGGTGGCGCGTTATCTGGAAGAGCTCTTGTTTCCCCCCGGACATCTCATCGGCGTAGATCTTGGGCAGCCGCTCTAGGAAACGGCGCCACACGGTCGAATTCTCGTACACCTGGTTTGGATTCGCCCCGTATCGGAGGAGTAAATCCACTGTTCTGGCACAGGGACGCTGTGACCGGGAGAGGGCAAAATCCAGGACGGGGTAGAGTCCGTCGTTAAGCATGGCATTTCTTTCATAAAACCATGTCTCGGCCAGTTTCCACTCGAGGTAAAACAAGACATTCTGCTGGCATGCGTAGCCCAACACCAGGAAACTTGGAAGTCCCAGCGATCGGAACACTCGCATCAGATCAAAAGCATGCTCGGCACGCGCGATCAAGTCTCTGAGCTGAGTCAGTGTGTTAGGGTATTCTGAAGCCTTTGTGCAACAGGAGAAGAATAGCTCGAACATCTTCTCCCATGATTCGGCGGGCTGATACACGTCAGCAGGTGCACGCCTCATCATGGCCAGTGCGGCTTTGCATGCTAGGATTTGTATATCTGCATCCGTTTTGGGGCCTTCCTGACCAAGAACCTGCGTGCCCGAACCCCGGAGAAACGGCATCCCTGATTCTCGAAAGAAGTCGCGCACGGTGCGGTGCAGGAAGTCGACCTTGTAACGGAAGTATATATGCGATACTGCTTCATCCGAGACAATCTCCAACAGCCCGCGAGATCGACCATCGAGGTGACGGCGTAGCCGACGTCTGCGGCGGTCTATCTCCCGTCTGGGCATTCCGTATACGGGCTCGTCGAGGGTTATCGATTCGTTTTCCTCGACTTCCTCTAACAGCGAGTAGAAGACGAGATAGAGCGGTTTATCCGCGGAGATGGCGATCTTGAACATCCGAGAGGCGCGTGCCTGATATATTTCAGGGATGGAGTCTAGCATATGCTTAAAGAAGGCGTCTAGATCTTTCGGGAAGCTCTCCAGTCGGGCTCGGAGTGTCTTGATCGAGTCGTTGTATGTCAAGCCATCCAGAAGATCACGGACGACAAGGTGAACCCAGAGAAACACTCCCTGAGACAGGCCGACGACTTGGTCGACCAGCTGCTCATATCCTGGGTCGCTTTTTATTAATTTTCCGAACTGGGGATGCGCATTGAACCTATCTTCCACCACTTGACGGATATCTGATTTCGTTAAATCCTCCAATTTAATGACCCAGGTCGGGTTCTCCCCAAAGTCATCTTCGAAAACCATCCAAGGTCGGCTTGACAGGCATAGCTTGATGTCAGCAGAGGCTTCCAACTTGTGAAGTGTTTGTATGAGGTCCCTGTGGCTACGTTTGCCGTCTTGAAACTCGTCTAACCCGTCGATGAAGAAGCAAAATCTCACGTGTATATCTTGCTTGAAAATAGCCCGGTACATTTTCCACAGCTCGTCGAGACTCCAAGAATAGTCTTCCTCCTGAAAGTCGTCGAAGATATTCACACTCGGCGTAACGGAAGGTATCATTTCGGGGCAGGTACGTAAAATCTCAAAGAGAAGCGATCGAAGAAGGCCTTCCTGGGATCGTTGTAATATCGTGCCGGCATTCCAAAAAAAGAATGAGGCAACAATTAGCTTCTTGCCTGCGGCCCAATCTCTCAGGTGCTTCATCGTCTCGGGATGACTGCTGATGAACTTCATCAGGGTCGATTTTCCGGATCCGGCTTTGCCTTGTACCCAGAACGGCCCCATCCCCGGTTGCCGCAGCAGCCATTCAACGAAGTGGTGGCGGCCTTTGCCCTCGGGATTCTGTGGCATGATATCGGTGAATATCCATTCAAAGGTTTTGAAGAGCGCAGTTTCGATGCTGCGATGACGCGAATTGAGATTCGGGAAATATAACCGTTTGAGAAGGGCTTGATAAATGGTCGTATCCCTGCCAGCATGTTCGAGCCCTCTCAGTGACTGCGCAAACTGAGCCAGCCCAGTCGAGACCTCCTTGGCAGTCCGTACGACAATCCTTTCCGAGTCGTCGAGGTATTTCATGTATTCTTCCATTTTGGCAAGAATTGATTGGGATATGGATGGGGTCTCGCATCCATGATTTTGGACGGAGCGGGAAAATTCTCGAAGATATCCTGAGATTTCTTTTGGCAATCCGGCGGGGACGACTTCCGAATGCTGGAGCGTTTCTATGTACTCTTCCATCGTAACGAAGAACCCTTCGTACATAGGGTCCAAGTCCGAGCCCTCCGGCTTCTTGATAGATTGGGAAAGCTGCTGCAGCTGGGCCGAGATATCCTGGAGGACCTGGGTGGCTGAATGACTTCCAAACGGTCTAGTTTCGCTGTATACTCCTGCATCTTTGTCTTGTCAAAACCTTCGCTCAGGTTAACAACTCTGTTCGAGAGAAAGCTGAGATCGTGGCGTGTCTGGATGCCAAGCTTGGTGTTTGTTTCCTGGAGTTCTCGTATGGCTTTGTTGAGGTTGGAAACGTCCTTACTACGGTCGTTAAATTTAGCCTCTCCACTCTGTCGACCCCGCTACACCGCAACAAACCCCAATAAAGAGGGCTGGATTTGGACTGGAGACATACACCATGGTTATTTGCATATGAGAGGCAATTTGAGACTGAGCTGCAGCCAGCCGCTTTGACAAACGATCGATTTTGCTCTTCTTCCACACTTGCTTCAGCGCCACCAAGAATGACTCCCATTGCGTCTGTCGGCCCTTGGTCTTCAGCGTCGCCAAAGCGCCGAGAATCTCCGCCGAGATGCTACCGCATTCCCGGGCTAGATTTCGCAACTGCGGGCTGATCCCCGGCGACGGCAGAACGGATTCCGACAGCCGCGCCATGTCGGCAGCAATTGTCTCGAGCAGCCTGTTGTCGTTACTTAGCCCCTCGGTCGAGTTTGAGATCCGCCGAGTCTCTGAGATGAGAGTCCACACGAAGTCGATGAACTGGACAATGTTGCCCGCGAGGCCAATAGCCGCGAAGGGATCCATATCGGTTGTTGGATGACGTGCATTATCTTCAGAAGGCTTCCTATTAAGGCAAGAGAAAGCACGGCAAGGGAAGAACAGGAGTCGATTGGGCGAGCGCTGGGTGTATTTATGGCCGATGATTTGGGAGGGCTGAGCAGTACGTACATAAAACGTTTTCAGTAACTTTCTGTCATGGGATGGCAATAAATACCTGCAGGCACAGCCACGTTCTCAACAGTACGACTGTACCGGTTCATACCATGGGAAGAGTCAATCTGATTCATCGATCCCTGCGCTGTGAGAGTACATTAGCGCAACTTATCTTGGCCCAGGATATACGTCGTTGGCGTATAGCGGCCATACTTTCTCCTGGGGATTATGTTGACCAAGTTGAGAATCGAAGCTGTAACTGGAAAGATCTCACCCGGTTAGTCCCCCGATTTGGACAAGCGTGAGAAGCCTCTGGTACACGGTTCCTGCTTCCATTCGAGGGTTCCGACAGCCACGCTCGGCAATCTCTTCATGTATCAAGGGACAAACACCTGATTTTCGAGCCCAAGTTCCTCAACTACATCGCTACATTCGGACTTGCCTGAGGTTTTTACTCTAGCCGGGATGTCATTCCCGGCGACCACTAGTGAGTTCATAACGCTCTAGGAGTTCAATTCGCGACTGGCAATACATCAGCAGGCGGTGCCGATGGCCGGTCCACGGATGCGGTGGCTCACCATCCTATGGATATGTCACCCGAGACACCACTCACCGCAACAGAGCCGACAGAGTAAAATACCAATTGCAGAGAACCCACTCGAACAGCCTCAGCAGCTGCAGGCACCTTCTCCCCTCTTCATCGTGAACGGTTCATGAGGATACGATCAAAGTCTTCAATCACTACCCGCCTTCGTGAGTCTATCTACAGACCGGGATTGAAACAAATATGCCGGAAATCTAGAGATCATTGGTAAATCATAACTTGCGACTCAGATCGTCTCATATTAAGTCTAGACGGACGGCTCTCGCACACGTACGAATATTTGAAAAGCTTAAAATAGTTTCTAGTATACTTGTATACTATATACATTGATGCTGTAAGTACTATGGATTCAGTTGGTTTCGCCGTAGAAGTCCAAAAGAAGAGGAGAAAAAGAAGAGGAAACCTTTCGTGCGGAAGGTGATCTAAGGATGATACGCTATTATCTAACCACCTCATTCCTGGCATATCCCATCTGACAACCGTGACTTTATCCCACGCACACAAACGGCTGTGTAGCAGCGATACTCAACATCCTATATTATCCACGCACGTTCGCAACATAGCTCCTCGGTATACAATCATGCAATCGGCACGATCATGTCGAAGAGATTATTGTTTATCAAGCTCGAGGTGTCCTGTGCTGAAGAGTAGACAACTGCGATTAGCACTGCGCGGTATATCAATAAATCGTCTAGGGGATGCTGCACGTCGTCAGGTCGCTTGAACTTTGGTGGCGATGATCCGTCAAGTTCCCACAGTATATGCACCTTATAGAGTGAGGCGAGGCGCTCTTTCTCTCCCTGCGTACTAGCGAAAAGTGAGTAGTCCGCCTTCTTGCTGACTATGTAACTGTTTAGAGCACGGAGAACCCCGTGCAAGGCGCTGTCGACGAAGACGGCAGACGGGACTATCTCCATCTCGGGTGTGTCCTCGGGCTTAGGTGTATTGGCCTCATCCCAATTTTTACACACAGAGCCGAGGCCGGAACCGACGCCGCAGATTGTCCGCTGTCGACACCGGATTTCTTCAGCCCAGCTTTCGTCACCTGGCCAGCGGATGCTAGATAACCATTTGGTGATCTTTTTGATCTCCTCGAGCATACTCCTGGAGAGTGTGTAGTAATCATCGCGGTCTAGGTTCGATTTAGCAGAGTAGAGATCGGCGATGCAAACTAGAACGACTCGATGGACCGGCAGAAACAAGTCGAGCGGTATAGTTGGCCCGCCCACGACTCTCCGAGCCCAGGTCATGGCTTTCTCCGCGATATATCGTACACCTGGAGTAAATCCATCCTCAAATTGCGGACTGAGATTCTCCCACTCACGCTGTCTCATCGCCCAGAATCTACTCTGTATCAAAAGCAAATGGAGCTTTTCACGGAGCCTATGGTTCGTAACAGGAAATAACCTAGGATATACCGACGGCCCCACGGCGAAAAGTAGGCTGGCTGGACTGTGCTCGTCGTGGAATTTTATCGCTGGATGCTGTTTGCAGCGGGTCGTCCACGTAACATCCCTATCCCTACTACAGCAGGCAGGGTTGTGGACGTCTTCGAGGCTTTGACATGGACACTTTGGGTCCACAGGCAGGTGGTCATCAGTAAGCCACTGATCGAATTTATATCGCGGGTCTGAGATGGAACTCTCGCGTCTTAATTGCCGTCGAATGGATGACTCCATGTTGCCTTGCGCGGTCATAATCGATCGCATCGCAGTAGTGACATGTCGTCCCCAAGTGCTTTTAATTTCACCAATGTGATTTTCATAGAATCCAACAACTCCTAGCGAAGGGTGGTTGCGGAACACAAGGCTGAATTCCCGGCATTGTATTCGGGGGAGATTCGACGCTGAGTCGATGACGAGCTGGACCTCATCCGACGAGTAGGACGCGGCCAGAGCAATGGCGACACCAATAGAGCCGTATGCGGGCACGGCTGGGAACTCGGCGGGGATGTAGTCGGCACCCGTGTGCTTCCTTTCCCAAAGCTCGACATCGTCCAGGCCGACTGAAGTCAGCAAGGCGAGCCACGTTGCAGGAAAGTGGTCCGTTGCACCAAACAAGAACCCCGACGAGTCCATCTCAGCCCATTCTTCCTCATCTTTAATCTTTTTGTACCAGTACCCCTCTTCAGTGTCCTTAGTAATATTGATATTGACCGTCAGACCAAACCACGATGGGAAACGGAGAGGAGGAGGAGCGACGAGGAGAGGCGTGTAGGCGACGGTCCTAAACCTCATCTCAGACCAGTCGAACGTGCGCTTGCTAAACTTGGCCCACGGCCCGAGAGCATTGCGGCTTGACTTAAGCCGCCCCGGTCCGGCAGCGAGGAGTCCCTGGCCGACAGTCAAAATGGCAATAATGAGGGCGAGGATTCCTATGGCGGCCGTGACGCCAAAGGTGAGGGGGTCCCAATCATACTCGCCCCGCTGGGCCCTCAGCTCTTCGAGCACTGCCGCGAGGGTTTCGAGAATGCATTCTGTGGTATTGAGCGAGCAGTTGAGGGTTGCGCTTGTCTCGGCCATAGTGGAACGAAAACGGCTGTCAGAGGAAGAGATGGCGGTTCTGGCAACGTGTCGAAGTGATTGTAGTGATCTAGCCCACGTTTTTCAATTGCGGCTGTCGAAATATTGGCATAGGGATGTCCAGCTTTCCAGAGCCTTATCGATCGGAGGTTGGCTGCTTAAATTCCGCACGTTCAGCATCCCCCAGTTAGATGTACTCTTTCGGCCCTGCCCTATTTGGAGACCAGACCAGGCTGTGTACCCTTTATGCTAGACTTCATTCTGCGTTAACCGGCTCCATGTGGACTAGCCTTGCTGTTATTATGGGGCATATGCGTGTGTGGCCTGGTATTATTGTCGGACGTGAGATGCGGCAGTTGGATGGAGCAGGCGAGTTGGGCGACTTGGATAGAGAAGGCAACTGGGCATAGAGATGGCTTGGGACACTCTATAAATATCAGGTATATTGTTAGCACGCCAGAAACGAGGAGGAGCCAGGGTGGTGAACTGGTCAGCATGGCCAAGCCAGGCTCGTAATAGCGGTTGGGCAGACCTGCATGCGAGGGAGCCAATCGTTGACAACAGCGCTGTGAGGGGAGTGGCAGTGCTGATGCATCTAATGCATCTCGATCATCACAAAAGCGTCGACCAGGCTGTGAGCGAAATGGAAAGCCAGCAATCCAAATCAAAGTCTTATTAAACTGTTTTAAAATAGTACTCTGTGCTTTTGATGCAACATAGAGGATAAGGCTACCAACCCTCGGCTTACCGACGCAATGGCCTCAGATAACCTGTGTTGGCACTGCGAACAGCTTGGTCGTTTTACAAACACACCATCTACAGAAATGGACATCCTGCGCGCCAATCTCGTGGCGTCACTGCCACTGCCAACGATGCGATCCCTGGAATCCTCTCCATGCCCACTTTGCCGAATTTACTGGAAGATGGTGAAGGCTCAGGGGATTCTCGATGAGGACGTAGTACTGTTTAATATGCCCGTACTGGGTATAACCACAGTGGGGCAACATCTTTCTAGTCTCGAGATGCTGGTTCGGGTGATGAAAGGACAAGGGATCGGGCTGAAAGTATTGAAAATATTTAGCCACCCTGGTAAGTCGACAGTTACCAACGCTCACCGAGGAAAGGGGGGGAAACGACTAACGCGCACTTGGTGATTTTCCCCTCGTAGATGTTCCTTGCCCTTGGAATGCGGTTCCCACCGGTCTCAGCACTGGTCCGTCCGGAGCACCCGAACGAAACAGTAAAATCTTGGGGTGGGTTGAAAGATGCCAGTCATCTCACAATTGCGTTCGCTCGGCGCCTCCGCAACTTCCGACTCGAGTCCTGGATGTCAGTCCGGACTTGGGTGACGTGGTTAAACTACACGTATCTGGCGGAGCAAGGGCCCATTACGCTTGTCTTAGCCACCGCTGGGGTGATCACCAGACACTCGTAACGAACGGTTCGAATCTAGCAGAGCACACCACCAAGGGTATTCCATGGGCCGATATCCCCAAAACCTACCAGGACGCAGTGGCTATTGTCAGATTACTTGGTCTTCGGTACATCTGGATCGACTCTCTCTGCATTGTGCAGGACAGTACAGAAGATTGGGAGGCCGAGTCGGCTAAGATGTGCCGTATCTACTCGGGTGGTTTCTTGACAATATCCGCCTTGTCCTCACCAAACTGTGCTGCCGGATTTCCAACCATCACGTCAAAGAGTATCACGGGCACGACTTCAGAAGGCAAACCGTACCATTACTTTTGCCATAGCGCCTGCCGTCATCCGACGGACGTAAACACCCCCGAGGGCCAGTACAGTTCCAGGGACAACTACGACGTGACCGATTGGCCACTGCTCACCCGCGCCTGGGTCTTCCAGGAGAGAACCCTCTCCCCTCGCGTCTTACACTTCGGTAAAGATGAAATGATCTGGGAATGTGATGGGGATTGCTGGTGTGAGTGCAATGAAAGCAACGTACAGTCCTTCGCGCCCTCGCGTCAGCAGTTCAGGTCTGCTCTCCGGAGTGGTACTCCAGGCGTACCGTACATCTGGAAACAAATGGTATCCGACTACTCAAGGCTATCAATAACGAAAGAATCAGATCGACTACCAGCGTTGTCGGGGTTGGCGCAGGCTATTCGGGCGAATAGTCCGTCAAGCGAATACCTCGGAGGTCTGTGGAGGGAAACATTGGAAATGGATCTCCTTTGGCATTCTGTGTCTGTGACCAACATGGGCCACCCAGTTAAGCATGGCGGCGGATGCGCTCCGTCTTGGTCGTGGGCTGATCGAGCAGCTTATGTTGAGTTCCCTCTCTGTTTTGTCGACTTTGGCAGCGGTAAAGAAGAGAGATCCATGGGTTTGCTCGAGCAATGGTTCAAGGTTATTGACGTCCGGTGTCAACCAGCCACAGCCGATCCAACCGGCAAGTCTCAAGGCGGGCGATTAACACTCGAGGTCGACAGGTTTGCTGCCATCCTACGCCACATCGGCGACAAGCAATGCAAGCCGGAAACGACCTGGACGCTTTCAGAGAGCAAAAAAGGCCGTCGGTTCCGCAGTGTTGAGCTCTTCTGTGACAGTCCCATGCACACCTTTTTGTATAAGGCCTCGGAGGCTCGCATTACTTGCGCTCGCCTGGCGCTTGTGGAGGTTCTGGGCCACGACGACGTGGCAAGGCGACGTGGGGTTGAATACGTGCTTCTCTTGGTACCGTCAAAGAGGGATCCTAGTGCGTATGAGAGGGTTGGGATGCTGTTGGTACAACGGTATTTAGATATGAACGGTCAAAGGTACCAAAATTTTGAAAGTCCTTTTGCGGGTGGTGGTCGAAGGGACATTATCCATATTGTGTAGATAGACCTGGCACGCGGATGGGTGTGGCTCATGCCAATGATCTGAGCCTGGAGGTTCGTCCAATTTTGATCTTGAATTCCACGCATACTTATCTTAGTTCTCTCAGTATCGTCTATGACAGCTATCCTCTCGTTCTACTTGCCAGGGCCAGGGGAGGCCAGCAAGGCGTCTAAGCTAGTACCTGGATGTCGCTGTGGAAGAAGAGAGTGTGTGTATGTAGTCCAGTACTTTTTTACGAGCAGAAAAGAAGGTAGAAAAACATGGATTTTGTCTAACCTGGCGAGTACTGTGGATTTGGTTTTGTTTCACCGTCGGAATTAAAATAGAAAAAGAAAGAAAAGGGAGAGAGAGGCAGAGAGAGAAAGAAGAAAAAAAAAAAAGAAAAAAAATCATCTAGTAAAACATTAATTATCTTCCTCGTCGTCATCATCTTCTTCCTCCTCTTCAGCCACGTCATCTAAAAAGGGGTTGCCACGTTCCGAATCTCCATCATCATCATCTAGATCGCTAGCGTCATCATCATCGACTCCGTTTGAATCTCCATCATCTTCTGAGGGTGATGAAGGAGTCAGTCGTAGCGTGTTGCGATACCCGAACCTTTGGGCGAGGGTTGCGCGTCTCGGGGGAGCAGGTTCTTCATCCTCGTCGGCATCATAGTCAGTCTCCGTAGACCCTTCTGATTCCTCGGCGTCGGATTCCCCGGTGTCATTGCGTGATGGGCCGCCCTTCTCATTGTCGTTATCATGGCCATTGTCATCGTCGTCCTCATCGTCTTCGACTATAGTACGACCACGGCCTCCTCGACTCGCAGTCGTGGGCGCATCGTCTTCATCTTCGTCCCCATCCTGCCCCTCTTCATCCTCGCTATCTACCACAACCCTCCTTCGCGAAGTCCTCGCGGGCCGAGCTTCCTCGTCGTCGTCATCGTCCTCCTCCTCTTCTGCTTCCCCCTCACGTTCCGATGGTTCGAGGCTTGAAAATTGGGCGCCTTGGTTGTGACTGCCGTCGGTGACTGCTGGGGAGAACGGGATCGATTCCAAAGGATTCCCCAAGACCCCGAGGTGTCCATGAGGGTCCGGGTCGTCCGAGGAATAGTCACGCTCATCAAGCGCCTCCATGATCCGCTCCAGCTCATCCAGTTCACTCTCCTCGAGCGGGCCATCGTCGAGCCCAGAATCCTCGTACTCATCAATGTCATCCTCAAAATGATCAGAGGTCCAATAAACGCTCGGTTCCGTATCGTCATCAAAACGCGGGAGCTCGTCCGGTTCGTCGTCATCCCCCAAGGGATCGATGAGCTCTTCGGCGAGGCAAGGTCGGGGTTCAAAGTCGTTGTATCGGAAATAGTATAACGGCCACGTCTCTATCTTGGAAATTCTCTCAATCTGGTCATGGGGCACGACGTCGGGATTCTTGCCGTCATAGGATTCGGTGTCCGTCCATCCGACCTCGACGCCGGGAGGTTCAAATGTCACTGGGAGTTTGGTGATCCGGCGAGGTATTGTGTCCCTAGGATGGATTTTGGCGGGAATGTTTAGCATTGCGTACTGACGTTGGTGTTGCAGGTCCGGATAAAAGTACATCCGCTGATGGTACTCGGCGTAGATGGAGTTATCTTCTTTTATGACTTGATGGACGGCATGGACGTTTCCATCACGGATCCAGCGTAGGCGGCTCGGTCTATACTCTGGCGCTTCCAGATACCGAAACCACACCTTTAGGTGAGGAAAGAAGGTAAATAATCTCAGAAAAGTATTCGGGGCGATCTTGTCCGCAGTCCTACGTGGACCGAATCCCATGGGATCAAACAGAATCTGATTCGTCGAGAGATATCTGACATCTTGGCAAAACTCGCTGGGGAGTGAGTCGATCCTGTAGTTGATCACGATTTCCAGATGTACGACATCCACCTCCTTATTAAAGCGTACCGCGCCACGGCCTCCTCGGATCCCCAGGCTATCCGGAAAACGTTTCAGGGCCCAGGAACGGCTATCGCGATCCACGGAGAGAACTGTGCGGATTCGTTCCGTGTCTCCCGCGAGACTGCCTGCTTCCCAGATCTCGGCATGTCGGGGTCCCCGTCTCTGCGTCACAGCCTGAAATTGGAACATCCAAGATTTGGAGACGAGCTCCGGACAGAAATATTGCCAAATCTTTAAACGAAGCTCGGGTGGCAGCGAGTTAAATCGAAAGGCCGATTCGGGGTCGATGGACGAATGCGACTCGTGGGAATCTGATTCTCCATCTGATTGCGCATCTGATTCCTCCTCCAACGCCTCGTCGTCGATGAAGCGGTTTGCATCATCGGATTCGTATTCGTCCTCGGAGGAGGATGAGGCAGAGGCGGAGTTATCAACTGATTCTGTATGTGAGCGACTCATCTTTGGTATCTTAAGGGGCGGGGAATGGGTGAGTTGAAGAAGAAAGTTTTTTTTTTTCATCTCCTGTTGAGATCGCGTCTGTTCGACGTCTCGCCTTCCCCCACAAAATCACGAAGTCACGTGACAGTCATGATGACAGATCGTGAAGTCACTCAGCCACTCCGTCTCAGGCACACGTTGTGTTCTTTCTGATCTACAAATCACAGCCAGAGGATTTCAACAGAGATTCTATAATGTATAATTAGGAAATCGTTTTCTTGGCGTTGTATTGGATATGCTGATAATAAGGTAGAGTCTCGAGGTTGCATTTCTACTCTCAGGGCGGGTTGTAGTTGAGAGATTTCCTTGAAATGTATGCGTTAAAACCTATGGCCACTCACCGTGTCGACTTTGTTAGCATAATCGTCCCCTTATCCTCCTTGAGATGCACGTTTGTCGCCACACGTATCATTATATCATGTTTCGGGCGGGAGCAAGAATACACGATCAGTCCGTATTTAATCTCAGCTTCCTCAACATCACCAAAGAGGCTTCTAACTCTCAAGTACTGCTTAATGCCTGTCCATGCCAATTCTACTCGCAGTGGCAGGGGTCCTCCGTATCATTCTCTTCATAGTCATCATAGTCATCATAGTCGTCATACCCATCATCCTCATTATCCCCACCGTTCGCATCACGCTGAGCATCCGCAACATCCATGTCAGCAACTCGCTTGCGAATGTCAAGCACTACCTCGAGGTGCTTGAGCCGCAGAGGCAGATCCCGATGAGCAAGCACCAAAGCGGTTTTGATCAGGTTTTTGATCTCTCTTCCGTTGAGCGGCGTCTCGGCCAGTTGATCAAAGTCACGCTCGCTGACCTGCGCAGTGCCAGGTTTTAGCTTCTGGATAAAGTTTACCCAGACCTTACGACGTGAGGGCGCGTCTAGGTCCGAATACGGGATGATGAGATCGATCCTCGACTTGAACGCGGTGTCAATATCGGGGAGGCGGTTCGTGGTGAGGAACATGACACCTCGGTAGTATTCCAAGCGACGAAGGAAAACTTGAAGAGGGTTAGTGGGTTTTGTTGGAGGAATCACAGGAAAAAGGAAAGGGTAGAAAAGAGAGAAGAGACGGGGGAAAACGAAAAGGGGGGGGGAGGGGGGAGAAGACGAAAAGCAAAAAGAAAAAAATTGGAAGAGGGGTGGTTACATGGGCTGGGGACTTACTAGACACGAGTTCATTTCGGTGCGATGCAGCAGCCATATCTCTGGACTTAAGGAATACGTCCGCTTCGTCGATGAGCAGTACTCCGTTCCAGAGCTGGCAGCAATCAAGTGCTTTCATGAGACCTTTCTCGACTGTGTCGGCTTTAGTGCCGAGGTCGCCTGCGCTCAGCGTGTACAGAGGCACGCGAGACTTTTCAGCCACTTCACACATGAAAGCATTTAGTATTGAACTAGGCCAGCATAGCTTCCGGTGGCTGGGGAAGGGGGGAAATCCCTTACATGCTTCCGCTGTCAAGGTCTTTCCGACACCTGGAGGCCCACAGAGTAGAATGATGATTCCTTGCCCTAGGGACTCGATGTTAGTTTTACTCTAGCCACAAGGTCTTCGTACGTACCTTTGTGCGCAACAAAATCATCGAACCCAAAATTGTCAATCTTCGGTCGGTTGACGAAAGCGCGGATCAAATCCTTCTCGCCTTCTGGAAGCACCAAATTGTCATAGGGTGCCGGGTCCCAAACAATATCCCTGATGCTGTCAATGTCGAATTCGCCTATTTCCTCGACGTTAGCCGCCTCCACAGAATTTTATGCGGATCTGTAGAAACGGGGAACGACGTACACCACTCGTTGGTAGCTAGATCAAAACCTTTGACTCGGGAAGGCGTAATGATACACTCCTCGTCAGTTAACGGAGTAAATACTTCTTCTCCTCGGCCGCCTTCCATGGACGGGTTGGCAGCCCCTTGGGCGCGATCTGTATTTCAGGTTAGCAATGTATATAACTTGAAGCTCTCCTCTCAGCGAAAGACTCAGACGGACCAAGCATAAGAGAGCCCCTAAGACGGCCTACAGACATGCCATTCATAGGCTCGCGGAGAATCTGAAGCGGGGCCCACTCTTTGACAATGTTCTCAGTTTGTTGAATCCTGTGGTACGCGTACGTGTCGATAACGATCCGACCAGAGACCTACCGCGTGGTCCGGTAATTAGCGCATGAAAGACAGGAAACATGATGTGAGGGGGAAAAAAGGAGAAAGAAAAGAGGAAAGAAGAAAGAGTGGAGCAGGAGGAAGAGGTTGGGAAACCAACATACAGGGCTCGCCATTTCCACCATTCGAGTGCCGGTTGGAGCCAACCTCCACGAGTACTTTGATCCGGTGTACGCTTTTAGGTGGAACCCACGGAGGGCTTCAAACCTCCTGCCTCGAGACAGTACCAATGGACGCAGTTTGTCCCAGCCCTTGGAAAGGTCGGCCGGAACCACCGGCAGTTTCCCCACGGAAATCGTGTTTTCGTACTTCTTGATACCTTGGGCGACGATCCGAACAGCAGTGCTGCTACCGTTCCAGTCAACAGCAGCAAGGGTGAGCATGTACTGATCCTCTTCACCGTGCGACCCGGGGCGAAAGACAGCCTGGACCAGCTTGAACACCTCAGGCTTCCCACCCCTTTCCGACAGCATGAGACGGCCAGGGGCGAGGACGAGCCAGATGTTGTTAAAGGAAACTGCTCGGGTCTCCTCCACCAACTTCAGGGTCGCTAAATCGTTGGTAGTTCGACCCTTCAGCTCATCTCTTAGTAAGAGGAGATGTTTCAAAATGTCCGACGCCGGCGCCCTTTGGCGTACTGTGTCGCAGTATAGGTTGAATTCATACCATCGATGGACAAACGGCGCGAACGGCGGTGTGAAAACGTAGGGACTTGCATCAGGATACCAGTCTGGGTAGTCCTTGAAAACAACATCGAGGGCGGTCCGAATTAGAGGGCACTGCACTTCGATGGCGGATGCAACCCAGGCTCCGTTAACCCTTGATACGCGGCGGATAATGGCAAATGACTTTCCTAGATCCTTCAGTCGCCGCTCCTCCTCGCGGGGGTTCTGATATTGGGACCATTGAGGAACAGGCCCGCTTCCGTGGTTGTAGAAGGTGAAAACTCTGCACTTGGACATGATTCCGTTCGATGTGCCTCGAGAGGTCACCTCTCTCGTGGCTGAAGCAATGAGATGCAAAATGGGGAAAGTGAGAACCGTGAATTTCTCAGTGCTTCCTCGACGTAGAGACAAATAAGAGGTATCTTGAGCAGACTATCCCACAGTAGTAGGTGTGGAAACAGGATATAAATAATAGATGCCAATGCCACGAGAGAATCGATCCCCATCCTTCGGAGGGGAAAGCTGCCTAGGTTTTAGGCCCCATGCGCGGCCGCGTTGTACCAGAACGCTGCGAGCCTATTCTGAAGTTCGTTGATTGTAACTCATGACGCTGCGACCGACTAATAGGCTTCTGTCTGCCTGATACATGGGGATACAAGCGGCATTTCTTCTAATTCTTTCCAATCTGGAACGTCTTAGTGTTGCATGCAAAGCGAAGAGTTCTCAATATGCAATGCAGCTTGCCTCTGCAGGCTTCCACTTCCTCCAGGATTGAAATGCATATGGCCCACCATCTGGTTCCGGATGCGTCTTATTACCTCCTGTTCTGTTCGATGACTTCCCGGGGTGTGGAGTAAAATTTCTGCATCTGTGGGTGTTGGATGGAGTCCTGAGTCGCGACCCCATTCAGATCTAGGGTGGTGCGGCTGAAAGTAAGGTTTCTGAAAACAAAGGTCATACCTGGAAGCCTAGAGATGGGCAACACTTGGCTTCTCTGATCCTGGCAGCTCCAAGGATGCCTGAGCATAGAGGTGAGAATATGGACTCAAGTCTCTTTGTATCCTCTGAAGTTTCTAGCAAGATTATCCTGAGACGGGGATAGGTAAGTGACCGTTCATCACCAGGTTGGAATAGACTCACCCCAAACCACTACATGAGATCTCCTTGGCACCATGATCCTCACTGGTAAGCCCTCTTCCATTTCCGACTGTTCTAGATGCTAAGACGGATCGATGCAGCCAGCTCCACTTGTAGCACCACATTTACGAAACAGAACTTGGTGGGCTCACAGCCAACAGTCAACAATCAATAGTCGACAGTCAACAGTCAGAACTTGAAGGAAGCCAACGCAAAGACGCTGGGGCATATTGGCGGGACACACAAAAAAGGTTCCAACAGAACGGAAATGACGAATAAAATTTTTGGTACGTCCATGTATGACACAGAGCATACTAAGAGCATCCGGGATTGTGACGAATGCATCATCTAGGCTCTGAGGTGGCTGATTTTCGAGGGGAATATGGGGTTCTCTTCATCACTTGAACGATTGAGCCGGCGCGTGTGGAGTCGGGGATGGTGTATTGGCGGTATTATCTTGCAGCTTTAAACAACGCAACTTTCTAGAAGCTCATCGTTGCCTTTTCCTTTTCCGTAGCCGTCTTCACAAGATCACTGTGAGGCAAGCGCTCTCTCGAGACGAACCCTCATCAGGTCCCAATCCGTTAATTCCTTCTCTACAGATTGTGACTATATTCTTGTCTACCCGAGAACGTAAACTACCCTATAACCGTGCTTTCCTCAAGTATTGTTATAGAAACACTCCTATTAATCTTGTGTGATTCACAATTGCCACTTCCAGTTGGGTTGCCCCTTCCCATGGCCCTGCCCATCTTCGTCTATAAATCCCCATCTTCCCCTCCCAGACCTCTCGAAACACTTCCCACTTCACATTCACACATCTACCTATCCACACAGTAAAATCTTCCGCGACGCTCGAGCTATCCTCCGAGTTACCTCAATGGGAGCTCCGGAATGGTCTTGGGTGAACAAGTGTCAATTGATGCCGGGCAAAGAGAGACGAAGCCTTACGAGCTGAACAACCTGGGCCCGGCATGGTTAAATACAAATACGGCAACGACGCGAATACTGAATGGCTAGCCGAATCTTTTCCACGCAACTCCACCATCAGAGAGCTTGAGAAGATATGGAATGAATGCTTAACAAAGAGTCATCTCCGATTCCGATGTCCCTGCTCGCTAACGAGCCCGGCACAGAGAAAACACGTACATTTCCCTGATCGGAATGACACCACCCACCCTCATGTGCGCCTTTCCTCTAAGTTTGTAGGAAAACAGGATCACTAAGGGGCATGCGCGATATTGGATGAGGTGCACGTTGAGAAGCAACGTGACCGCTCCGTACATTCTTTAAGAATATCAAAGGGTATACGAACTGTACACCTAATTACAGCAAGCCCACTGATAAACAACTCTAGAGATTTGTTTAACTGTCTCCAATTTATGCGGAGAGCATTGGATCGGTCCTGGAACGCTCCTATACACACCTTTGGGCCCGAGCCATACACCAACGACTTCGACACCTTAGTCGAGAACTTCACCAATGAGCCCCAGGCCCGATGGTGAACGGTCTGCCGTTATTGGGGGTACCTTCAAGGACGCGGGACTAAGGGCGTGGATTCTAAATCCCCACCCTTATCACACTGTCTGCCAGTCGATGAAATGCCGGAGTGACTTCATGAGCAAGGTTCCCCGGCCGATAATGTCTTTTCCTTCGCGTAAGAGAGCAACGAAAACTTCGCCGACGCTTCGAGGCGGGAAAGTCGCTTTTCTTAGATCTGATATATCCCCTGTTCAAACCCGAACAGACGAGCTGGATTTCCCGTTGGTTTGGAGTACCGTCGACTTTTCGACGACGTATTGGCTGGCGCTGGGCACTCCAGTCACGCTCGTGATAGGGACACCGACGATGTCGGCCGTGATAGCGGTTACCTCAACATGTCCACGCATCACCAAGAGGTGATTGCGTCGTGAACATCCGATTGCGAACCCTGTTCGAGTTTAGATCAGCTGCGTTTAGATCAGCTGCGCCAGCCCTTGCTGCTTCCCAGTTGCGCGCTATCCTTCCCCACGCATCCGGTGACCCACACATGAGCCGTCTCCTTAACGGTCTCGCCGAGGAGGAGAAGCGCGTTACCACGATTACCTCACCAGGCCGCCCTCCCCGCCCCGCTCACAATCGCTCACATTGTGAAGCACGATTTGGTAGGTGGTATTGGTTATTATTTTCGCCAACTGCGTCCCAAAGCCCCATTATAGCTAGATGTATTGAACTCGTGTTCGAGTGGGTTACTACCGAACAAGACCGCGTTGCGATCATGGCCGACATTCTCACATATGACAGGAATTTATCCAGCATTCTTACTCGATGTGGTTATCGAGTTCTCAGCAAGAACTCGCAACGCAAATATTCAATGACCTCACTTCACTTTGGGCGTTTAGGTATACCTTAAAACATTTCACCTCAGCTCCTTAGGTATTGATTTACATCAATCGTGCTGTAAGAGCATTATAGTTAATAACCGATCCCCGTCGTCGAGAAAGGGTGGACTTCGATCAATGTTCCTGGGGAAGTGTCACGTGGCGCTGTTTCCCACTTAGCAGATCGCGAGGAAGCGGGAAGGCCTGGCAAGAGAAATAGATCGATACTGGGATGTGCTCCCGATCGGGTCGGGGGGTATCACTCAAATAATAACGAAAGTATTCTGTCTACATTGTCACCTCTCCTCACATGTTGCCACATGTGAACCATTGATGTCGTTTTCCAACTCGAGCCCTGACTCCTTACCAGCCAGGAGTTGCCAATTTCCTAATCGAACTCCTCACCCTGGGATGGGGTTTCTGCTAGCGTGCGATGTCACCAGTGACACTTTCAGAACAACCGGATCAATGCTTCTCAGAAGAGAAACCCAGAAAGCGTCTATCTTGGGTGTCCATATCCTTGGACTTCCAACCCCAGAATCCATCAGCCTGCCTAGAACTCACCGTCCCTCCTGCGAAGGTGAGACCCATCCAGTAGGGTAGTTGGCAGGCAGGAAGAACATATCGATGCCTGTTGAGGCGGAGCTAGTGATCCGTGGATGTGTAGTCTCAGTCATAAGCGATCAGTGACTACCAATGGTAAACTGCCATGCCATGAAATTTGAACAAACAAATGCCAGCCAGCGACGGTATGGATGAGGTCAAGAGACAAGCTGGAACGAGTTTGACTCTTAGAAGGCTAAAACACAGTTCGATCTTCTCCAAACGGGCGACGCAATCCAAGGCATGGAAAGCACTCCATTTTCTTGTTGATCCGCGTTGGTCGTCCATACCGCTCCACTCCAAATTTAGTTATGCCTGATGAGACAAGACATACCTTCATACCTCTTAGCCCACTTGTGCTTTGTGGGAACCCACTAGGCCCAGAATCCAAGGAAGATCGTGTGTCACATTCCGTATAATTAATGAGAAATGCCTACCTTCGTATACGTTGTTTAGAAAACGGAAGCCGACTGTCACCGGATAGCCCATGAGATTATGCCTCCTTCCATGCTTCCGGCCATCTCTTAATAATGTTACGGATCACGACCATGCCTTGGCTGAATTTGATATATCCACGTCGAATCTTATGTGTAAAATAACTTCTTAGGCTGGGGTGTATAACGGGGGAATATTCGTAAACTATTCAGCAGATGCAAGCTGATCGAATGGGGTAACATTTTCAAAACAACGACGCAAGGAAAAACACACCATCAATACTCCCAACAATTGTATAAAAAACACCTGCCGATGCTTCCGTACATCATTGTATCTCATCCTCGAAGAATTTAATCAACGTCCTCGCCCCAGAAACGCCCAATCCCATCCATGGGTAGCAGATATACACCGGATCGTCCTCCGTGCCGAACTTCTCCCTAAACTCTCCCTTGCTAGACAACTTGAGCTGCTGCGCGATGGTGCGATACGTACGCGACAAGATCTTGGCCCTCAGACCGCTGAGGTTGGCACCGATCTCGATGTCTTTGGTGGCGCCGACGCCGAACGTGACGCACTTGACACCCATCTTGGCGAGGCCCTGAATCGAGCGAGAAATGACCGATTCGATGGCTCCGCTGGGAGAGCCGGGAAAATCGAGGGCGAATTTGATCTGGAAACCGTGCTTGGGGGCAAGGCGGTGGAGGATGACAAGCGCGGCGATCTTGCCCTCCTTGTCCTCGGCCCAAACGTACCGACGGTGCT